TTGGAGGTTGTCTCTACTTGCAAGCAAATGCATTTTGCCACTTGTGCAGACTAAACATACTACATGCAGGCAGGAGAGTAGCTGGGTGGCCCCGAGGCTCGCTGGAGAGAAGCCACACGAGCCGTAGGCCACAGATGATGCTCACAGCGAAGGGTCCCAGCACCAGCCACAAGCAGGACGCAGGGGAACGGCCCTGGGACGCTTTGCAGCTACCAAGCCCCCAAGGCCCTGCAGCGGCCGAGTGTCAGTGCTCCCGCTGCCGTGGTTCACGCTCCGACAGCCGGACACGGGAGCCCACGGGCACGGCAGCGGGGAGCTGCCAGCTTCAGCGCCCGCCTCCCCCCGCGGCCCTCCCCGGGGCCGCCTGAGGCGCTGCCCCTGCCGGAGCCGCGCCGTTGGCTGCCCTACAATCGCCGTCTCCTCCAAGCCCTCATCTTCCCTGCAAACCTGCACATTCAGTGCCTTCGCAGCACCCTCCTGTGGGGATTCCGCGTCCGTACAGACACGGNGGGGGAACAGGCCGTGCCGCCGGCACGCACCGCGGGCCCGGTACCGAGCGGGCCGCTGAGGAGGCGATGCCGGAAGCACCGCGGCCACCGGCACAGCCCGCACGGGCCGGGCAAGCGTGGGGGCTGCGGCACCCCCGGCACTGCTCCGCTCCGCGTCTGGCTGAAACCTTCTGACTCACAAAGCCAAGCAGCCACAGGGAATTCCAGAAAGTAGTAAAAACGAGTAGATCTCTTTGTAGCAACCTCTGACATACACAAAGTGCTCCTCAGCTCCTTCCCTGGGGTGTGCAATTTCACCCCACGGGGTAGATCGCTGCTTAAAAACCTGCTCTCAAAAGCAGGGAAACCTTCACTTAGCAGCACCTCGTTTGGAACCACTTTTGCATTAACACTTTTGTTTTCATGGTGATGCTGCATTTTCATTCAGATACTTGAAAGCATTTTTGTCACAAGTTGCAGTGATTTGCACCTCAATGAAAATCAAACAGTGCACTGATTTTTAAGAGAAAGAAGTCTGAAAATTAATAATTATTATGTTACTAAACATTTTTTAAAAATTGTGTGTTAGCTACACTTTTAATGTACAGCATTCAGAGTGGTTCTAAGATACAGAAATCCCAGATATTGCAAGAATGCTGCAAAATTAGACTTGTCTGAATCTCAAATCTGAATCACGGATTACCCTGCAGGTTACACAGTAATTTAACATCCTTCAGCATGTGACTTGCAGAGAGCACACAAATCAGTTCACATGTGCAATGGGCAATAAGAACATGGATATGGCATCATTCACTTTTGAAGCCTCTCATACCAAATTAATTCATCTTAATAGATGATACTTCTGCAGGAACAAACTAAATTTTTTGCTTCCCGAGCGAAGGATTTTTGAAGAAGCCTGGCAGATGAGCATTTGGTGAAGCCAGACACACTACAGACACACCCCTCTAGTTTAGATGCTCTAAAGCAAGGCAAGAGCAAATTGTGGGAGAGATGGTAATCCCTCATTTATCTTTCCCTCCACCTCACAAGAGAAGTTCTTTCCATGCTCTCATTGCCTGGCAATGACCACTTTCACTTATCAGGAGTGGCAAGTTGCTCCCATCCCTGGAGCACTCAAGTATCCTGTCATGGAAAAGAACAGGCTGTAGAATCAATCACACAGAGTCTGTCAGAGAAGAGCATCTAGTCTGGAAAATTCAGGTGCAAAACCGCAATTAAAGACTGCCTTTCCATTGCCAGAAAGCCTTTCCAAACCATCATCCTGGACAGGAACTAAAACCTTCTCTCAAAAGTTAAAAATTCATCGCACTCGTCAAACTCTGAGAAAGGAAGAGCTGCTCAGCTACTAAATTTTGAAGACATAACTACTGAGCCTTGCTCTTCCAGGGCAAAGAAAGGCTAAGGCTGATGGGAAGCAGGTGTATAGAGGCTGGAGGCAAAGGCAGGAAATCCATCCAGCAGAACCCAGGAAGGCACGGAATCAGATGTGGCAGAACTGAGAAGGCAGAGCTGAAGCAAGATGCACAGGATTTTTGTTGTTACTGTGCCATGAGGTCTGTGTCCAAGGAAGGCAGGGATTGGGTAGGTGAGGAGACTCTCATCATTACTGGATATATGACGTGACTTATTACTATCATCAAAAACTACAGCGCCTTCCCAGCAGCAGCAGCAGGATTTTCTGGATGAGAACACTCCATTTCTACCTTGAAGAATATAAATTCTTCCTCCACTACCCAGCCCTGCTCAGGGGATAGCAGAGCTATTCCCAGCTACAAAGAAAATGTGTCCTAAATAAACGGAGAAGAGAAAGGCAAATAAAATGTTTGATAATAAAGTCTTGCAAGCTGTAGACTTTTACAGGAGGGAAATAATCTCCACAGCTGGAAGGACACCTCTCCTGGCATCAAGGTCAAAACTTTTTAAGGAACAGAGGCCACTAGGCTGCACAGACTGGCCCCAACCCAGTTGGTACCTCAGGACAGTTCCCTGGCTGCTGCCTTCCACATATCCACAAGAGGAAAAGCCAAGCCACAGCATAAACCCTGGCTATCAGATCCTATGTGGATCCAACTATTGAATCAGTAATTCCTCAGCCCCTCCTCAGCCCTGTTACACACAAGGGCAGAGGGGAACGAGAAATGAACAGAGGGACCTGAGTGACAGGGCAGCAGAGCTTCTCACTGGGAGAATACTGCATGATGTGGCACCTTCCAGGCCCCTCACAAAGAATGGAGAAAAGCAAGTTGTAGTATTTGTTTCATCCGTTCATCACAACAGGAACATCAGCCAGATCTAGACTAGGTCCAAGGGATAATCACTGTAATTAGCACTTCGTTCATATAATTACCAGCAGACCCTGTAACATTTTACAATGGAGGTAATTACCCACATTTTACAGCTGAGGAAACAGATACAGTGCAGGTGAGTAACTTAAAAGAAATCATCAGTGAAACTGTGGCACAGCCAGAGGCTGCAATTATCCTTATTCCCAGCCAAGGCTCTCCCCAATAATCCATGCTGAATTCACTTCTGTCTTGTGGGAAGGAATCCAGAGAAAATAAACACAAACTGGAATTTCCAATGTCTAGAAGAGCTGAAAAGCAGACAAGCCAAACCTGAAGGAGAAATAAAAACACATGTTTATCACTGAGCACTTTCTGAGCCGAATGTGCAGCTATGAGCAGGGGACAGGCAGAAGACCCTGCTCTAGCAGACACAAAGCCAATGCGGGGTGTCAAGGGCTACAGTTCTACTTCTGAAGCAGAGGAAAAGCAGAAGCACAGCAGAGGGTCAGGGCTGGCTGCCCAATGGTGCCGGCTCAACCTCTCAGCCATCAGAGTCCTTATGCAAGTCAAGAAGTTAGAGATTGAAGCAGGAGCAATAATTAAATTATTTAAGGACTTTACAAACCAACGCACACCCAGAGCGGCAAGCAGGGTGACAAGCCTGAGAAATTCACCCCCACCCTAAAGAGAACCTCCCTGCAGAGTGCCTGCCAAGGATCCCAGTCCTGCCCCAACAGCCGGTGTCCTGGTGCAAGGCCAGAGCAGCACTCAGGCTCTGCTCTGGAATGGGGGAATTCCCTTCCCCTCTGAGCACAAGAGCAGTGGGATCCATGCCTAAAACCCACCAACCCTGAAAACAGAGCAGGGTTAGCTGGCACTTGGTCAGCTTATTGCATAGGGTCAGGTGCTACACAGAAATCTGTGTTTTCCCAGGTACAGTCTTGACCTGTCCTGTCCTTTCATCCTGCACCTCTGGGTGAGTTTCAGTGTTAATAAAAAATGGTGTATTTGTGCTGCCCAATACATCTGATTTTCAAAAGTAGTCAGACCAAAGTGAGGAATTTGCTACTGCCTATTTTTATTAAATAACTAGCACATGCATATGACACACAGGTGTCTATTAGGTTGAATAAAGCAGATTAGGTTAATCCAACCCCAGCTGCAATACCTGAACTGCAAGACATGCAACGCTCTGAATCTTGTACGTGTGCCAAGGATTTCATTTCAGCCCTCCAGCCTTCTCTTAAGGTTAATACGTAAGAGCCTCCAGCAGCAGAAGATACTGCATAGATTTCAAAATTAAGACTTGTTTCAGGAGTGGATGTTGTCAACATTCTGGCTTTGAGTAACAGAAAAATCTCATAAGCAGGAACAAATCTCTCAATAGAGTATTCTCTCAATATCTAAATAGACAAATGTTTTGCTTTGCAAACATTTTGCAGCATTTGTGTAGTTCTTTGATTAAGTGTTTGATGAAAACATGTATTTGAGTTACTGCTCAGTGAAAAACAAGCTCAGTAAAGCGAATTGAGTTCCATCTTCTCTTGCCATCTAAGGGTCAGCTGTTGCTGTTCCTGCTGTATCCAGCAGCACTGCAGCAAAAACCTGGGGACAGATTTTACACTGGGGCAAATAGCAGCGCTACTGCTGGGTCAACAAAGCAGCTTTTCTTGCCAATATTTACTGTGTTTTATAGAGAAAATGGGGGACAATTCCTATCTCCTCCCTTCCCAAAGGCTGTACACCTTCTCCTCCCTCAGCAGCTCTAGCATCCTGGAAGCCCCATGCAACAGCTGAACAGCCATGACCCATATTATTTACAGGGATTTCTGCGAATAACCATCTGTATCTAACACAATACATGGAAATATCACAACAAAGCATGCATCCCACCACCTTGGGAGCTACACCCGGAAAATGCCATGGGTCAGAGCGCTTACCTTATGAAAGAAGGCAGGATGGACATGACAAAACATGAAATGAGACAAAAAAAACAAACAAAAAAACCCAAGACATTCTAGCCATTTTTAAGCTCTATTTTTTTTATTATTGACTCCAATTCCCAACATCAGACATATTTTTATTCCATTTCTTCTTTTTCCCTGCTATTTGTTCTAGCAGGAGGCAGCCAACAGCCAGCTGTCTGCACAGGGAAGGAGATTTCCTTCAGTTTCCAGACGTTTAAATAAAGGTTTTTAAGAATTGCTGCACTGGAAAGTCAAGGCATTCACATCTAACTGCTGCCAACATAAAATATGTGTTACGAGGAGAAAAAGAGTCTTCAAGGAGTTTTCTTTGGAAAAGTAAGTAAGTATTTTTTCCCAATGAGTTTTAAAATTCCTGTTCTGGAGACTGGAGAAATGGCTTAAGATGGTTTCTGGAGGATTCTTCTTCTCAGGCTGACAGGTAGCATTAAACCCAAGCCAAAGCCACATCCCAGCCATCCCAGCCAGGCTTGGTGAGAAGCAGCAGTCTGTGTACCAGAACTGACAACTCCAGGTCTACAAAAACAATTACAGCTGAAATTTGGAACAGGAGGGGAAGGGAAAATCCATCTGAATGCTTCAAGCACTGATGGAGGCTGTGACAATCCAGCACAGCTCATAGCCCCAGGGTCAGAGAAACTCATACAGTAACACAGAGGTGCTGGGCAGGGAATTCTGTGGATACTGCATCTGCCACTATTTTAGCAGGCAATTCTGCCACACAAGGGCAGTTTAAAAACAAGGATCTTGCAGTTAAGTACAGAGATCAGTGCTGGATATACCGTTCTCAGGCAGGGATGCCACTTCAAACCAGCTGTTTCCTGAACCAGGTTCTGATGTTGATGGTGCATCCCCTCAGTTCAGGTAGAACCTGCTAGGGCTGAATCCCTCAAAACTCACAGAGGACTCCTCAGAGGGGAAGGAGACAGCTCAGGCTCAGGTCAGCAGGACTCCCGGACAGGAGCAGAGCCAAATGCAGTCCAGGAGGGTGTTCAGGTGAGCTCCAGGCTCCTTCAGAGGCCAGGCACCAGCTGAGCCCAGTGGCACTACGTGAACAGCTCGCTACAATTTTAATCTGTAGTCCTAATGAACGATATAAAGTTTTATAAGCATCAACAAGGCTCTGAGAAGACCTAAATCCATTTCAGTGCTCATTTAGCAGCTTCATCTGTGTGCAATTAAAACTTCAGCATTAAATGTTAGAGAATAAAATAATGAGACACTTAAAAAGTAATCTGTACTTCAGTGGGCCATGCTCAGTGGATTTCATATGATCATTTACCAGATAAAAATAGAATCTGGCCAAAATATGTCTTATCCACGGCTTCCCTTTCAACAGGAAAATGGAAAGAACCAACTAAGCGTTGGGGGCTTTGCCATCCCACGTACATACAACACTGCTTCCCTAAGCACAGCCGTGCCTAAAGCACAGCTCCAAGCATTGATAACTTCCCTTTGGGCTCCAATGATAACAGAAAAATAAATGCAAATTGAGTTTCAAGTAAGATTTTCATTTTGGTCTGAAGCCTAATCTTTTATTAAAACAGCTATCAGTTTGGAGCTGATGGTTAGGAAAAGTTAACTTCAGGACAGGGAAAAAATTTAACAACAAAGAATAGTTCTTATTCATAAGTGTATCTGAAATTCTCCCAAGGTTACTTTAAGCTATGGAAGTTGACTAGAGGGGGACACGGGTGGGCCACAGACAGGCCACGAGCATGGGTTTTACTGAACAAAAGAACTGTAGAAAAAATGTGAATTAAAAGCAAAGATGTACATAAATATCAAAACAGATTAAGCAGGAGAACACAGATCAAAAGAAGTAAAGTATTATAAAGGAAACATACACACAAACTTAAAGGAAGCAAAACCAACAAAAAAAAAAACTTATTTTATTAACAACTGAAATAATGTTTATTCAAGAAAAGCCAACATTGCGCATCCTCGTAGAAAAGAAAAAAGACATCTGGGGAGGTCAAAGAACACTACAGTTTAAAATGATGAAATGTTACAGCTTACACACCAAAATTAAAAATGAAATGAAATTAAAAAAATGAAATGGTTACCAAAGTAATGCAGGTCAAGGGATCAAAGGTGAAGGGTCACACACTATTAAAAAGAAATCCAAAAGGGCGTCTGCATCAAGATCTCTGCAAAACAAAGGAGCTTCAGTGAGTAAAACTAGAACCTTCTATGGAAGCACATCAAAGCTCTTGCACTCCACACCCAGCCCATGGCAGCATACTCTACTACTCTCTTGTGCTGGTGTCCTGCGGCCACTGACCATTCCTGCGGCCACTGACCATTCCTGCGGCCACTGACCATTCCTGCGGCCACGCTGCCCCAGCCACACTGGGTCATTCCTTCCAGCCACTTTGGCTTGTTATTATTAACCTCTCCCTGTAGACAGGCTCCTTAAAGTTTTCCCATTTCCATGCTGGAGCACTGGTTTCTTGTTTCATGAACTGTTTTCAGCGCCAAGGGCTTGAGGCAGCGCAGCCCAAGCCTCGGCTGCAGGTCCTGCATTGGCACTGACCGCTACCTGTGCTGAGGACACTCTGCTTAGGTCAGAACACTCCTGGCTGTCAACACAACTGTTGGATTGCTGCTTTTCAGGGAAAGCTTGAATGCCTTTTCAACAGTTTTCTTTATTCACTGTAACTGTGGAAATCTGGTAATTATTGACACACACGCACACTGAACCCCTCACATCGTAACGTATTGCTTTAACACTCCAATAAAAAAGTAATTCAAATGTGGTTTCCAAGACAAAGGCCTCTCCTCCTGGAATTTCAATTACTCAGAAGCTATAAAACAACCTTTGGTACCCATTTCCAAGCAGGATGCAGTCAATTATCTATACTAAATTTATGCAGAGAACGTAATATTTACATCAGATAACTTTTGGAGAAAGACAACCACCAAGGGCATTGCATCCCTCTTCATTCCAGCATCCCTCCTCCTGCCTGGCAAGGCATTAAGTTTTGGGAGACTCTTATCTGGACCAAACCAGCCCTGTGCTTGAAGCCAAGAAACAAACTCTCTGCACAAAACCCTGCCTTTGCAGGCAAAGAAGGCCCCAGTGTCAGAGAACCACCATATATAACACTGAGAGGTAGCACAAGGATCTAGTCTGCCTGGTTGTTTTTCCAGAAAACAAATCTCATCTTTCCACATCATTCCTGCTTCACGTGTGTCACAGTCAGGAACCTGCTGAAGAATGCAACAAGGTCCATATTCCCCCTCAGTAGCCGTGTCTGGCAAACCCTAATGCTAAAGTTGACCTTAAAACTCAGTTCCTGCCATTATTTCCAGCATTTATCAATTCCAGTTTCTGTAAGCCAAACTAGTAAGTCCACGTTTCCACAGTTCCCTCACTGCTGCCCTAGGCTGCCTCCTCTCACCACAGCTCACACTGCAGATGTGCCTCAATATCAAACTCAATATCAAAGAAAGCAGTCTGGAAACCCAGAAACTTTGCAATAACTCAACAGCACAGACAGAGACTTGCCGTGACTCATCAGATGATTAAGTCTGAATGGATCAACATTAGTTTTGTAACCAGGAAGACCCCAGAGCTAAGGAACCTTAGAGGTGCATGACAGGGACATGCCTGCAGGACACACCAACATCATGGGGCTCCCTCACAACTTCCCAGGTAACAAGAAGTTTGCACAGATGAGTTTTAGGTAACTCCAGGAACATTTCAGCCCTGAGACAACAATAGTGGGGCACAATCCCAAGGTGGGGCAGCTCTACAGGGCTCTCCAGTGCCCATCTTGGTCCAGGGCTGTGTGCTGCAAACAGCTCCCAGCTCCTGTAGTCTGTCAAAACGGGGCACAGACACCAGATACAAAGGAATGAGCACAGAGACTTGGCTTTTCTTTCTCCCCTATTGCAGTGGATTATGCTCTCTCCTGCTCTTCCTAGGACACTGTTCCTTGCAAAGACCACTGCTTCTTTCCCTCTTTTCCTAAGGCAGTGCCCCAGCAGAAGAAAACTTTTGCTTTCATTTGCACTATTTTTTCCTTCATATCTAGTTTTCCTTTCTCATCTAAATTCTCTGATTTTTCTATTCCAAATGAAACATCCACCCTCAGAAGCAGCAAACCTGAGACCAAGATGACAGGATTTCAATCCCTTACAAAACATAATCTCCTCAATTCCTATTCATTTGCCAAGTAAACCAATTCCTTTGTGTGTGTACATGCCAGGCCCTGGCAGAGAGACTGAGTTTCTAAATTGACTTTGTTGCAACATTTTCCTTGCATAACGTGGAAGTATACTTTGTGTAACACCAGTGAGTATTTTTACTCAGTGCTGGGCATGCCAGAGACCCAGATACACAATGCAGTGGTATCTGCTACTACTGCTGGCATTCCTGCAGATAAACAGATAAATACTAACTGAATTAATTAACTCTCCTGACTCCCTCATGTTTCAAGAAGGGTTTCTGTAACTGGTAACTCCAACTTTTTCTTCCTCACACATCAGATTCCACTTCTGCTTTTAATACTACACTTCAGGATAATCAGGTACAGTTAACAAGGACAAGCCACAACAGATGACACAGATTAAGAATAGCACACCAGGTTCATCCACTGGAGGAAATAACACTCCACCTTATTTTCCCACAAGACAAAGTATTTGGAGACACTGTACAGACACTGTCCAAGTGTCTGGACACACATTTATTGCTTCTGAACTACAGTCATCTGCAACACCCACTCTGTGGAGGAACCTGGAAGTGTCAAACAGCAAAAAATCCTAATACCACTGAACAATATTCAGAGGTACTTTGGCATGTTACTAATGACATTCAGGTGGTTAAATACCATCAACATTTTATATATTGTGTACAATATGCTAAAACTAACTATGAAGTAATTTTTTTTCTTTAGTCTATCATTAAGTGTAAAAAAGTGAATTCATTAATTTAATTTATTCAAGAGTTCACTTGGAGTAAAACAAAAAAAAATAAATCCGGGAGGGCAGTGAATTACTCCCAACTCTCCATCTATTTTTTGCTCCGCCTTACAGGAGTCGCTCCAGTTCCAGCACTCTGGAACTGCCCAGCACTACAAGATCAGCTCCTTTGTACTGACCCTAACATGAACAAACGGGAGGGGAAAAAAAGCTAGGTTTCCCTAAGAGGATCCTCATCAGGATCTCTCTGTGAGTAGCATAGCATGAACTGGCATTACTGCCCTTGTCCAAAATCACCCAGATTGGTAGGTAACCTTCCCATTCTGCTCAATCCCCAGCTCGTTCACAGCAGTCACTAGGGCTGTAAACACAACTGAGAAACTGCAAACACAATGCCAGCACCACATTCCTGCTTTGCACATTAAGCAAATCACAGAATTTCATTTATTTCACAAAATAAACCCACAATTAAGTGGTTCTGTTAGAGAAATTGCCGTCTCGTTCAGGGATCAGCCTCAAAGCCCAGCCACATGCGCAGCGGGAGGAGCCACCCCCACATGCCAGACAGCCCCAGTCAGGTGTACCAACACTGCTCTCCTCACGCTACAAACGCTGTTTCCCTTGCATTTCACTTGCCAAGCTCTTTCTTCTTTAAAGCAATTGGAGTTCCTCACATTCCTGCTGGTGGCCGAGAGGAGGGGCAGGCTCTGTACACACAGTACCACCGGCTGGCAGTGCAGGCACCCAGCTCACTGGTGACAAAGCCAGGTAGGACATGTCTGTCTGAGGCCCAGGACCTTGCAGACCACCACCACTGAAATGAAGGGTGAGAATCGACACTGGCACTCTGGATTTTATGGGTGCTCTGGCTGCTCCAGCACTTGGCAAACACTTTGCCCCCAGCAAGGCATCACCTGCCATTCCCAAACCCTTGTCATAAGATGACATGGCTCAGCACCATGCTAAGGGCACAGCACCATGGCCGAGGTGCCAGAGCAGCAAGGGCAGGAGGAGCTGGTCTGCAACCACTTCCTTGCAGCTCCTCCAGCGGAGGATCAGGCAGAACAGAAACCAACAGCGCTTCTAGTAACAGCATTTGCCATTACCATTGGGGTATTTTATACTGCGATCAAGTGGGCAGTAGGCAATTAGTCTAAATTCAATATTCTTTTTGCTTTTGAGAAACTCCAGAGCTGACACAGACGACGAGGATGTTCCAGCCCTGGGAGTGCTCCTAAGCAGGCACAGGGCTCTCACAACAGCCTCTGGCCTCAGGAACCCTGTGCTCCAGCTGAACACATCTGAATGAATCGATGAAAAGCATTTAAAAAAATATGCTGGACTTCAGAGTCCAGGGAACTGTACTGAGTGTGACTCCTTTTCCATGGAGTTTTGCCATCTTGAGGGGACACTGTGACCTGGACCAACAATCCTTTCCTGCTCCAGCTGTGTTGGTGGCACATACTGGTCCCATACACTTGCTCAACACCATGAATCTGTAACACATTCAGCTACTTTGCTGAATAAGGAATGAACTGGAACATGCAGTGCAGGGCTGTAATACACTGTACTGTCCCAGGCAGCCTTAAAAAAAAGGCAAAAAAGCAGTAGCCATGCTGCCGGGTCTGTAGCAGAGCAGGGCTTCAATGAACAAACATGCAGCGACAGGAGCCATGCGGTGACCAGCTGCCCGACACTCAGCTGCCGGCGGCCGAGGGGAGCTGGAGGAGCAGGCAGCAGGGATGTACTGCTTTCATTTCTTCCCTTCCAGCATTTCAGAGAATCACAGCCAGCCCGAAGGCTCCAGACTCGCTCCCCCTATCAGACTGGGTCCCTCACGTCCCTCAGGCAATTCTCCAAACCTTCAAAATCTTCTCCGCACTTTAGAGAAAGGATGGCAAATAACTAACTCGTTGTCAAGCGAAAAGGAGAATGTCAGTGTCATGCGAGCAAAGCAAGAACGCCAGAGCACATCGGGATGTCAGTGAACACGCGACTCGGGCCCCCAGGCAGCAAAGGCAGAGAGTTTATTCCTATGCTAAATAATGCTCAAATACAGTTTCATAATTGCATTATTTGAATACTCTCCCAAGCTGTACCTGAGCCTGGAATCTGCAAAATGTGAGTGCTGGCTGACTCTAGAGAGCAGGACAGTTCTGCCATGCCCCTCCAGACAAGCCTAAGCACATGGAGCAATTGCTGCTGGCTTTTTCTACCATGCAAGTTCTGGGCTTCTCCCAACAGACTGTAAATAGAGAATCCTGTTGGAATCAAAGCCCAAGATAGCATTTTACATTTCCAGTGTTTAACTTTTTCTTCTTTCTCACACCGTGTCATTAAGTGTTTACAAGGATGATTAATGACTGCGGCTGCCAACTGTTAACGAACGGCATCTCTGCTCAGAGCTGCAATCCGGTGCCTGGCAAGCGCTGTGCAGAGACAAGGTTACTCCAACATCCTTGAGCCCCAGCACCCCAGGAAGCTGCTGATTCCCAGACAGAAAGCAGCGGGATGCATCTCCTGCAGACAACGTATCTTGCTGCCCAAAGTGACTAGCAGGTAATGAGGCACCACCTTCACCGCCTCTGTCAGGGGACACAGGAGCTCAGTGGGGCACCTGGAGGGTGGCTCTGTGCCCTGCTTTGGGAGCCCAGCCCCGCTCCAACTCCAATGGAAGCCAGCTGAGATCCAGTACTCCCAAAATTCTCACTCAAGGTGCACTGCCAGCACACCAAGCCAGAAGCCTCTGCTCCATCCATTCACTGAAACCAAACTAGATCTGCATTTCACAAACCCTAAAATGGTTCATAGCAAACAACAACTAAACCCTTAGAGTGAGGAACTCCCTCACAAGCACAAAGCACTGCAGAACTTTCTGGCAACTAACTCATTTGTCTTAATGTGAGAAATCATATGAAAGCCCCATCTCTATCCTCTCCCAGAGCCAGAGAAATAAGCACAATGCACCTTTACAGGCATTTCAAAAATGTAAATCTGTAATTAAATTGCTAGGCTTAACTTAAGATTTTCTACCTCTGGTAAAAAAAATTGAATTAGAAGGAACACTTCCTTCAATAAGAAATATAAAACCGCTATAAACTTGATTTAAAACAAGATGACATCTTGGTATGGAAATGTATTGCCATCAAACATTTCAGTTGCAAATTCACGATCCGATGGAAAGCAAGTACCTCAATAACGCATTTGAACCATTTTTAAGTGCTCCATTTCTCTTGCTGCTCATCACGTGATTTTACTACGTGTAAAGTCATCCACAGCCCACCCAGCTCTCAGAGGACAGTTTCTCCATCCCAACTACTCAATCCAGAGTAACATCTGACCATTATTCTTAAGCTGCAGACGTAAGTGCTCAGAAAAAGTTATTTGCGGTGTTCCCATGGCGATGCTCTACCCTGGCTGCTCCCACACCTCTGCACCAGCAGCACCGAGGACCCGATGGAGGCACAGTAACTGCACATGCCCATCCTGCTGCCCACCACCCCCACAGCTGGGAACACCTGTGTGCTGGGCTTCAGGGCACAAGAGACAGACAAGAGCCATGTTCAAGTTTCCTTGAACCATCCCCAGGCAAAGGAGCACAAAAGGGTATGCTTAAGGGTTTCGGAAAGTTGTCGGGTCGTGGCTGGGTTAAGGGGTTCGGCCCCACTACCCCGGGGATGAATCTCACACCAGTGCCTGCTACACTCATACTCTGCAGCTCATAGCAAGCCTCGACATCCATGACTGCCCAACACACACCATTTAGAGGGAGGACAGCATTGTCACACATGTTCAGATCTGTAAGTTGTTCAGGTATTTCCTTCCTTTTCCATCTTTTACTAAACCTGCCTGTCCAGGAGGCACCTCACACACAGGACCAGGAATTCTGAAATCAGTACAAAAATTCTGGAAATACCACTGTATAAAATACATCTTTTTCTCCTCTACTTTACAACTTCTGTCTTCACTAGCACAGGCAGAGCACCTGTGTACTCAGATGAAAGAATTTATTCCCTCAAGAATGCCTCAGGAATGTAGTCCAATATTATTATTCAATTATAACCTAAGAAAAATTCAAGTTTTATAACAGTGCACAAAATTAAACTTTCAGATTGGGGGTGGGGAAGGCAATAAAATCTGGAAGCTCAGCTCCTTCCTCCCCCATAATTAACACAAATTTCCAAGACTTCATCTAGGCATAAGACTCTGGCTGTTTCTATTTCTCCCCCCACCCCAAGCTGATGGGGCCAAAAAATCTCTGGCCACAAGAAAAGCTCTTTTATTTAAATCATGCAACAGGGACACTGTACCAACCAGGCTGGCAGAGTCAGCACAAGCCCATGGACATAACCCATGGACAGACCCAGCTCCACATCCCCATGGCTTAACAGCCTCAGTGAGAAATTTGTGAAGAGGGGATACAAATGAGGGAGAGGAATCTGACATTCAAAAAGACAGACAGGGGCTGGGTCTGATTTTCATGTCCCAGCTGATGATCTGTGTCTATCAGCATACAATCCATCCAGAATTACAGCACCAGACAGTCCCACCCCAGCAATACACTGGTGAGCACTGGTAGAGCCACTCACTCCCCATTCCCCAAAACACTGACACAACCATTAGAAGAACAGCCAGGCTCCCAAATTCTGCTCCCAACCTAATACACCACACCAAGCATCTGCATTTTCCTGCTTCTGCTCGTGAATAATAACAATTTTCAGCTGCATAATGAACTTTGCCACATCCTGTGCCCATAGGAAGCTTCACACACGGATCCTAGCCAAATCCCCATGTGCAAGTGTGTGCACAAAGCTCTGCACTGGGGACAGCACCAATATTAAAGTGACTAAATCTCACCTCAATCAGATTTTTCCAGTAAGAGGGAAGACCATAATTCTGTCACAAACCTGTGCAGAGCTTGCTTTCCCCCAGCTGTGTTTGTCCAAACATCATCTGTCAGAGCCACTGGAATTGCCACTGCTCCATGCCCTGTCCCCATTAGTACAAACACTACCACAGAATAAACCACAACCCGCATTTTCTACAATTCACATTTCAATTCAAATCACCCAAGACAATAACATCTACACAGAAAAAGCCAAGGCCAGCAACTGCCCCAAAGACCCGATTCACTCTATCACAGTACTGGGTATGTTAAAAACAGATACCTGATTGTAACTTCCAGACACCAAAAAGAAGATGGGTAAGGACTCCAATTTTGAAAAATACACACAGTCACTGCTCTGTGATTGATTCTATGCTCAGCTAATACATACACACAGAAGTGAGCCGTGTTTGATCCTGCACTCAGCTGCCACTTGCAGGTGTTAAACTCATGAACACAGGTTCTGTTAACAAGTTTAGATCTACAAATGAGGGATCAGTCAGCTCCCAACAAGCAGACACTAACTGGAGTCTTACAGTTGTTTCTCCAAGTGGACTGCCTCTATTACTAAGTGATTCCCATAAATAGGGCACAGCTACATTAAGACAGAGCTACTAAAAACTAAAACTACACACTGTGGGTACTGCCACGGGACATCCAGCATTGCTGCACAGCAGGAATAAAGCCTAGGGATTGTAGAGCTACCCGAGTTGTTCTTTAACTTCACTTTGGCCCACAGAATTTTAAATACTTATTCTTTATTTAAATTACCCCAACCATAATGCAGAATCAGGTGATCTGTGACCAGCATACTCAGGGGGTAAATGGATTCCAGTAAAAAACACCCAGTTCTGGGTTTCCCTTGCTCTTAATGAGATTACTCAGACAGAGGTAAGCTGGTTATTTCCCAGGACTCTATGTGGCAGGAAAGAACACACACCGCATTTTGGTTCGGAAGTCTTCATGCACAGGAAGGTAACACTTTATTCACTGCAGTATAAACACACCTATCTAATTTTAAACCATTTTGAAACGGGTCATTAAGGCGATATGAGATTTGACTCTGAGGCAAGTCACACACACATGAACCATAGACTCCTGCTATATTAGCAGTCAACTTCCACATCTGCCTTCAAGTCTCACTTAAAGCTCACTTTCAGCATGTACTAGGACTTATTATTTATGGAACAGGGTCCAGAGCCAGGGAATTCATACCCTGTAACTTGCGTGGCATGCTCTCACAAAACAATCCATAAGCATTAAAGGAAGCTGGTACATTTAAGAATAAGTAAGAGATTTAACTACCTCGTTAGTGTTCCAGCGGTGCCTCTCTTTCGGTAAACTTGAACATTTTGGTAGACATTCAAGCAGCTTCTTCGGTAAAAAGATTTTTACATGACTGCCATTGCTGTTCCCATGATCATCTAGAAAAAAGAGGAGACACATGATGTACACACAGGAGAATGGGTGATTCAACCAAGAGACTTGAGCGATAGCAAGACTTGGAAACCACCCAGTTCCCCTGTCCAAAAAGAGCAATTTGCCATGGCAATAAGACAAATAAGCAGCTTTTTGTTGAAACTGCAACTTTATTTCAGAAATATAAATACAGTTTAATTCTTTCTGGTTGCAAAGTTTTAGAAGAGCCTTGATTGATTTGGGCACAAGGAGCCTGTGTGTACTTACCTGTGCCTATTTTAGCTCATTATTTCCCTCAGTGGCAAATTTTACAAGCAATAGCAACAAAACACTGTAGAAGCTGTGACCACACCAGCACGACCTGCCAGGGAAGTCATAAATGAAGTTCACACTTGACAGGATTTGCAAGTAAATAAGCACAGAGCCCCAGCACCTGCTATAATTTTGTCAAGCTGCAGCAGAAATGCAACTCAGGGTCTATTAGTTCATTTAAAACTAAAACATGCCATACCTGATCAAGCCCAAGTTACTTCTATTACCATTCACAGCTCAGAAAGTAAATGTATCTCTTCAACATGAGAGTGAGAAAGAGGAATAGAAATTTTTCTACCTCACCATGCCCAAGGGTGTCAAAAGCAGAAATACTAAATAATACAAATTGTTCTTTTTTTATTGCTAAATATGTAGAAGGTGCATCAATCCCCCTTAAAAGACCCGAGTTCCAAAAGCCCTGCAAATACACACCAGCCTGCAGCAGTCTCAGCAGCAGCACCTTGAAGATGTCTCTCAATCACCCTTTAACACCATCAAAAGAATCAGAGCACCCATGAAATGCATGTGTTTATCAACCAAATCAGTCCCCACAGGAAAGGGAACCGGAGCAGCAGCATAAGAGAGTCCGGCCACAACGCAGAACTTTATCAGTTCTCCCTCCAAACACACCATATCTGTCATCTTCCACCAGTCTCATGCATCCTGTCACAGATCCTGGGCAGTGCTACACAAGCAGTAGAGGCACTCACTGGCTTTTTACCCCACAAAATTAATTTATAATCATTTCCCACTTGGAAATGTACAGAAAAAGGATATTAACTTCATTTTATACATCTAATCATTTTATGTCATAAAACACATGCCAGCACTACAATAAAATTCCATACGACACAGACTTTTAGTTACTCAGGAATTGCAGATACTTCACACCAGCAGCCAGACATCCCTGGTATTCTTAAAGCTTGATTAGACTCTTGGATGTGTCAAGTTCAACAATATACATGCTGTTAAATCAACTGCTCGTGCAAGCCCAGCAGATGAGTTTACAAGATAAGCAGCGATGTGTATGATAAACGTGAGCTGCTCTGTAATTTACGAGTCCTGCGTGCTCCCTGAGTTCCTGGGAACTTTACTGTGTGGCTGTGTCAGACTAAATCAACAGCACTGCCACTTCCCAACTTCTTCCTGGGCAAGGAGCAGCCTGGCAGGATCGATCTCTGCTGGACTGCTGAAGAAATCAGGGAGAGAGTGCTCTCCATGATGCCATTCCAGGATTTCTATCTGGATATTGAGTATTTCAGACCATGAGTCTATGGGCCTTTTTGACCACATCCTTTCCCCAGCAGATGCTCTGCATGTATGACTGTCACCATTATTTCCCTGCACGTGGGCCACTCAAAGCCTCACAGACACCCAAGTTATGATACCTGGAGTTAGCCACAAAAACACAACTTGCCCATGGCAAAAACCAGAGCCAGGCAAGGCCTGACGTGCCAGGCAGCCCCCAGCCATTTCCAGATCCACCACCCAATGCAGCCAATACTCATTTCACAATCCCTGCATTCATATTACACCATTTCCATTTCTCATTCAAAACACTGCATTGCTCTACATTCAATTCATTAAGGCACAAAGTATTTTACAGCACACATTATTGCTTTTATCAGCCAAACTACATCCCAGTTACATCTCATCAGCTTATTTTCCATGGGCACATTTTAATTGACATTAATTGTATTACTTCCCCTTACCTCCGTATCAGTCAAGCCCTCTATCACTCATTCCATTATTTTGCAGGGCTGGCAGACCTCTAATTATTCAGCTCGTTTTATTAACTTTCTTCCATTGTCATCAATTATCAGTATTATTAATCCAGAAAGTGCCTATGGATAATAGAGCCCTTTAAAATGTTTTGGTAGAAGTTGTTAGAACTTGCTGACGCTAAACATTCCAACTCCTGTTGTTAGCATCTCCCACCTTCTGTTATTACAGCAATGGAAGGTCATTCTCACCATCCTGTAACACGACTACATCTCATGGATGCCTCCCTTTTCTGTATCTAGCAAGGGCATTTCCTCACTCCAAAAAATCCCCTATGTGACAAGCAACTGCCTCCTGCCTCGATCCAAACGTTATTTCATTATGGATTCCTCAAGCCATGTAGTCAGAACACCACACAACCATCACGGTATGGGATGCAAATCCTAAATCCAGTGACCTCTAAACCAGGCCTGACCTTGCAAAAGGATGAAATAGGCCAACCAGCTATGAGAGTGAAGAACCCATAGCCCCAAACAATGTACACACATCTGCCTTCAAACTTGCTTCTCAGCCCTCTGGAATCACACAATGTACTGTGTGGGAAGAACAGCCCAAGGAAGCTGGGAACAGAAGAGGATTGCTCACCCAGTGGCACTGAGGGTACTGGTGGGACAAGAATTCCCATTCTTCCAAATGAACCACCACTTTCCTGGTCCTGTTCCTCACAAGAAACACCACGACATCATTAAGGAGGTGGAGCAAACCCAGCCCCCATGCTACCCCATGGCTAGAATCAAATCTGCCTTTGCTAGTGCAGCTGATGAGCCCATCCACCACCATGGAGGCTCCTGGTGAACGCAGAGGAAAAAGGGTGTACATTGCTCCACAGCCCTGCTCACCCAGCAGCACAGGCAGAGCACCCAGCAGGCAAACTTCTCCATTTATCACCAACTAAAATTTCCTCACTAGCTAAAAACAGGAGCTGCAACTTCCTAACACTGATTTGGTTTTACTGTGCAAATCCAGATTTTTACTTGAACTCTCTCCTTATTTATTTTTGCCACAGGTGCAACTAACAACACCGAGATCTGCAAATCCATCCAGTGTCAATAAAAAGTGTCTGTGCAAGCAGAGCCACACTGGCACGGGGAGGATTTGCCAGTAAAGCTCTATCAACATGGGGGTTTTTAGTGCAGAGCTGGCCACAGCTCAAAAATGTTTCCCAAGGCAGGCACAGCCACAGCTGAGAACTCAAGTAAGGAAGCTACAGACTAAAATATAGCAGCCTACAATGTGTCCTGTTATAATTCAGGATGAAAATGCAAAATTTAAGTTCCATTAGCAATCTTCAAGATTACTTATTAGCAAACCAGAAACTCGTGTAGAATTAAGAAAGTGTAAGTATTATAAAGTTCATGGAAAGTTCCACATTAATTATACCACATAAACCCTTCGTCATTTTATGGGTTTCTTCATGCTCCTTGCACTTTATCCTCCCAAGGGATGCACCATGGGCCATAAAACTTTAAAGTGCACAACAGCAAATCACAGAGAGCCTGTGCTCTACCCCCACTCTCCAAACAACCCCCTACCCCCTTTACTTTTTCTTTAACTGGTTCTTAAATCTCTGGTGATCCAGGAGGTGAATTTAGACCTGGAGCCCCATTAACTACCACAGTTTGCCTATATAACATGCAATTGGAAAATAAAGAAATGGCCAAAAGGATGTTGATCAGCTGCTGATCTGCAGGCAGGTCTATACTGGAAATAAATAACACAAGTAAGCTATAAACTCACAAACACAAGTTTTATAAACCCATTATTATGAAATAATAACTTAGGGCTGGCCATCTCCTTAACTACCTCAGGAGAGGGAAGAGGTGTTTAAACATTACAAATGGACACTTTAGTACAAAACAAATGATCAAAATCCCACAATCATCATTATTTGGGAAAGGGGCAGACATCCAGCTGATCCCACCACCACTGACCAACCACTGAATTGCCAGAGTTGCAGTCCTACAGCACACAAGTGACACCACAAAACCACAGTGCACAGAGGTCACCACAGTCACCACCCACCCAGTCACTCCAGACACAGACAAATCCAACAAACTCCATCTGGAAGAAATAAATGCAAAGAATGACTACATATCCAAACAACTGCAGAACTGCCATACTATTTCTCACAATTAAGCATTAATCCTGGCACCTTCCATCCATAAAAAGCGGCAACAGAAGCAAACCCAACAGCACTTGGTCTGTTTGCTAGAAATATTTGTATGATTGCAGTAGTAAATCTCTTGGCAACAAAAGTAGATTTCTAAATATCAATCAAGGGTGGCTAAGAGAAGATAACCAGGTCCAGCTCTGCAGTGTTGCTGTCTCAGCAGGGCTCCACTGGATGCCAGCACTTGGTCAGACACTGGCTGAGCAAATGCATTTCCAGTCTTCCAGCACGGGATGCAGCCCAGGGCTGAGGGGAGGACATGAGGAAAGACTAAGCAGTTCAGGCAAAGGTAAAAATGTACAACAGGAGCAAGAGGCCAACACAAACCAGCATGTGTATGGCCAGGACTGCTGCCTGCATGGAATAAGTGAGGAAGGAAAAAACCCAGAAAGGATAAGGAGGGAATCACAGGAATGGTGGCAGTATGAAGGATGAGCAACAAAACAATTTTCCTCTAGAAGTTACTGAATCTAGCCTTGGTGTTGTGGAATATTTGTGATAAATACTTCGTTGCTATGACAAACTACAAACAATTCTAAGAAACACAAATATAACAAAAGCTGCTGCTGTGCATCAGTGGCCCAATTCTCCCCACAAGTAACATGCTACTCCCAAGTCCCTTTGTCCTTTTCATATATCAGAAAGTTTCTTGACATTTTATAATTAAATTCAGTGTGAACACCAGTTAGGTATAACTGCAAATGGTGGATTTTGGGGAAGAGTTGAGAGCCAAATTTTCCC